CCTGCCTAGGGAACCTAGACCTGGAGCGCGGACGGGTTGTAAACACCGAGTACGCGAGGGGGCCGGCGCTGCAGATGAGCAGGTCGATCCGAGCAACCCGGGCGCGTACAGGCAGAGCAAAGCAGCTTGTACATGCACACTAAGCCTCTTGGCAAACGAGCCTGAGCAGCTTACTGTTGCAGAGGGTGAACTGGCGTAGAGTCTCTAGTAGCTAAAGCGAGGAGGAGGAGCTAGGACTAGGGGCGGGGCTTTCACACGCGCACCCTCGGTTTCCTTCACCCCCTTCACAGCTCCCCCGTCTTCGGTCGCCGCTTGGGGTTTATTTGTTTACAAGCGGATTACGTCAGCTCCTCCTTCTCTTCCCGGTCTCTGGGCCCGCCCCCTAGCCCTTTTCCCGCCCCCTCCGACTCCGAACCTGCTTGCGTCACAATGGTGCGATCTCCGGATTGGCTGGAGTCGGCTGTTACGCTCCAGCTACGCACTTCCTTTCCGCGGCGCTATAAAAAGTGCTGCACGGTATCTACATCTCTTCGCCCCTTGGAGCTGGAAATGCAACTGTTGGGAGCTTCGGAGGCTGCGGAACTGGAGGCGGAGGCGGCTGGGGAGGTCCGAGCGATGTGACCAGGCCGCCATCGCTCGTCTCTTTTTCTCTCCTGCCGCCTCCTGTCTCGAAAGTAACTTTTTTACTATAAAGAAAGGAGGAAAAAAAGTAGCCGTCCACTCCTCACGCCCTCTCTTCCTCTCAGCCCTCTGATCTGCGAGGGAGCCCGGGGTGGCCGCTCCGCCGTCGGGGCCGAGCCGCCGAGCCCCGGCCGCCCCGGGCCGCCCCCATCCGCCGCCCCCATGCATCCCTTCTACACCCGGGCCGCCACCATGATAGGCGAGATCGCCGCCGCCGTGTCCTTCATCTCCAAGTTCCTCCGCACCAAGGGGCTTACGAGCGAGCGACAGCTGCAGACCTTCAGCCAGAGCCTGCAGGAGCTGCTGGCAGGTGAGCGGGCCGCTGAGGGAGGGCAAGAGGCGCCGGGGGGATACGGGCCCCACACCCCGGGGCCGGACC